GGCAATTTTCCTAACAGAACAACGAAATTAAGCGCCAATTTAGACAACCAAACTAAAAGCAGTAGGCAATTTTCCTAACAGAACAACGAAATTAAGCGTCAATTTGGACAACCAAACTAAAAACAGTAGGGTAGGCAATTTTCCTAACAGAACAACGAAATTAAGCGCCAATTTGGATAACCAAATTAAAAACAGTAGGGTAGGCAATTTTCCTAACAGAACAACGAAATTAAGCGTCAATTTGGACAACCAAACTAAAAACAGTAGGGTAGGCAATTTTCCTAACAGAACAACGAAATTAAGCGCCAATTTGGATAACCAAACTAAAAACAGTAGGCAATTTTCCTAACAGAACTACGAAATTAAGCGCCAATTTGGAGGTTATGTGAGCGAAATAATTTATCCAAACAGACTAGAAAAAGTATTGTGAACACCAACCCCCTAGTGAGACAAGATGTTTTATACGATACGATAGTTTCTTTTTAAGATATTATCAAGGGAACATACCAACTGTACGAAGCAACACATCCAGTGGTTACTGCTGTACCATTTACGTTTACAAGCTACTTTGTCGTGAAGATGAACAAGAGCTGAGTGAAGCGATACTCTGATTTATAATTACCACCAATGTTGAACATATATATATTTACTATAACACTAGCTTGGAGAATCAGTGACAATACTATACTTCTTCACTTTGTTAAATCGCTGAATTTTTTGGAAAGGTTCATGATCTTTCAGTTTATTAAAATATACATGGAGTACATATATAAATTAATAATTTTTTTCTTTAGCTTTCATTGCCCAAGCGTTCTATGAGGCAGCATCGTCAAAGGAAGCGAAAATAAATTTAACCCTAAAATACTGTTCAAAAAAGCCTAAAAGAAACATCCGCTGGAGAAAGCAAAACTTAACTGTTATCAGTAAATGCTCTTTATTATAGAATCAAACATTATTGGCTTGCTTTATTATTTGTTGTATTCGGAGTAGAGTTCAAATACTTCATGTATCTTTAAGTTTCTCTTCTTAGCAAACTATTTATCGGGAAAGAAAATGTATAACTTCAAAGTTACGATGTAAATATGGAAAGTTGAGAAACATTAGCATCTATAGTTCAGATGAAGGGTTCTGGTACATATCGAAAGGTATCCTGGGAAGTGACGCATGGAGAATATAAGATAGATCTGAAAAGTTATTTTTAAACACCTCTGATTGAAAAACCAAATTGGACAAATTAAGGATAATGTAAAATAAAAAATCTACATGTTTTTATCAAAAACATTAGGCCTATTATAATCACAAAGATTTTCAACATATACAAAACTGTTTATTGAATCACACAAAGTACACCCAATTATAATATACTGACACTCATATATACCCAAACACTAAAATATTAATTGGTATTACCATAAGTCAAAGAGTTTCAAGTGAACAAAACCTTGTTTTTAGTTTGAGTTTAAAATATATATTTAGTGTTAAAGTAAGAAAGTGACGTATTCGTCAGTAATTTTTAAAAACACTAATTTCATTGGTTATTGCTATAAAAATCGCTACGTTTCTCGTGACTTGGTGAACGCTGTAAGCGTATAACGAGTCAACCTATCTAGAATCGTGTTTCATTTCAATTTACCACACACACACAAAAAAAAAGCATATATAATATACATTTCGTGCGAAACAGCCATCATATGTACCTGCGTGGTGTTGCCATGGAAACGAGAAATCTTATTGTTAACGAAAGTTTCTAGAGAAGGTAATACGTAAAGAATAAAAAATCTGCCATACACTACCAATATCACCAGAGTAGAATCTGAACAATGCTGCCTTTGTATTGAAGACCCTCATAACAATGCATTTTTCAGATACAAATGTTTATTGTTACTTGTCAGTGGACTGGATCTACTTTAGTTTTTTAATATAATATCAGTCTCAGTTATAACGTTACCCGTTTATTAAACAAGTGTCCAAGTAATCTGATTTCAAATATTTCAACAAGTTTTCATTCTGTAGACTGTTTATTTATTTTGTGACTACAAAAATTAAAAAAAATAAATAAATATAAGTTGTTGTGTTTTTAATAACGGATTTTCCATAATTCAGCTACGCAGATTTCGAAAATAATATTATCACGTAAAGATTTTTTTACAAATCGGAAATAAAAAAAAATTCTTACTTAGATCATATTATTATTTCGTTTACCACAATGAAAATTTGTTATTATTATGTTTGTTAACAAAAATACAAACAAACTGAAGAAAAGGGAAGATGTCAAACGAATATACATCCTCATTCATCCTGATTTGTGTGTGTGTGAAATCTACGTCTTTTAGTCTCGAAACTACGCGCTGTGGTCTTTCTTTTATGTATTGCGTTATGACGTTTTGGGAAAGATCTGTACGCGATGGAGAAAAATGGATGTCATTTTCGGATTCAGCGTACAGGAATTACTGCAGAACATGTAAAAATTTCAAGACAATGAAACCATCACAGGCCTGTGTAATCAGCAACAAATATCGACAATAAAATAGGCCAATCCATTCGATAGATAGTACAGAAAATATAAACGGTCTAAAGTCATAAGAAAAATTAATTAATGTAGCATATTAAAACAACAACAATACAAATAGAACTCAATATTAAAAGCATATTTTCCTAAAGAATCGCTATATTGAGTACAAAGGGAAGTTCAGTGTCGGCTAACAATACGAAGAATTAAATTGTGGCGAAATGCTACAAGTTCTTCAAATACCTATAGAATGATAGGTTTCTTTTTTGTGAGTGTAAAACACTTAAATACACCAGTTCGAAGTTCTGATTTGTTCAATGCTCGTCTAGTTTTCTATAAACAAGTTTTTTGTTTAGTTTTTAGAATTCTATAACGAAACAATGAATTATTCTAAAAACAGATGTCCTACGTGTCTCTTAATTTCTCCATTGTGATTCGAAATCAGACGTGCTTATTACGATAATAATGTAACAATCATTCGTGAAAATAACACCATTTAAAGTACACTGCTTGTTAATGTATTTTCCTCCAGTAGTAAGATATAACGTATGTTTATGAGATTGGACTTAAAAAAATATGCATAAAACCCACAGTGTTTCAACATCAAGGAACCTTGATTATGAGTAGTTGTATGAATACAAACCTGCCAAAAGTCTGCTGCTGTTTGTGGAAGAGGTCCTTGGGTTGCAACATAAGCAGGGTTTCGTGGATCATGGTCAGTCTATTAGAGAGAGAGAAGAGAAGAGCTTATTAGATTACTAAATATGTCCACTCTGTAACTAATCGAACAGTAATTACAAGATTGCGTGCATATATACAGTAAAGTTGGAAGTATCAATCCTTTCAGAATCTCTTAGGCACACAGCACTAATGATAGATGATTAACTGTAGCCAGTGTGTGTGTGTGTGTGAAAGGCCGTCTTTTCAGGTCATTTCTTTTCGCAATGACTCTCAACGAAATCGACAAACCATCGAGAAGAGATCATCTCCTTCAGCACTGAACACACAACATTTTGTTGTTTACTGAATAAACCCGATCTTCTGATGATGTATTGTGCGTCTCTCACATTATGTCTCTATAATTGCCAGAAAGACGTGTTTTTAAAACCCGAAATAGATACTACTTATATCTCATAACCTCATTCCAACTAAAATGTTCAATCCTTTTATAACGTATGTTTAAAAATTCGAAAACTTTAAAGAGAAAAATTAAAAAAAATATATTTGAAAATTATGTATTTTTTTTTATATTACAATTTTTAATGACAGTAGTAACAATTTTAATATTTCGATTTATTTAAACCTAGCAATTCTGAATAATTTTCAGAACTATACATTATAAGATATTCCTTAGAATATATTTAGTTGTGAAATCGGTAATACAAACTAGACAACACTGGCTGGATTCTTTCAAATATTTCTTTAGATAAGAAACACACGAACCAACAGCTTTTTTCTACTGTTGCACGTTTTAATTTCTAAAAATTATTTTTTTATTTTGCAGACTTGTTATATTAAAACATACTTTATATTTAGCCGTGTATTTTATGGGAGAATTGTTATCGTTAATTCACATCTGATGTTTGTATTGGACTCACAGCAGGAGTAAACGACAGACTGACCAAGAAAGAGCATTAAACAAATTACAAAGAAACGAAAGAAAACTTACTAAATTAATCAATAAACCTTGATTAATGAAAGCATGTCCAGATTCTACTCGAGAAATGTGTTTCCGAAGTTAGTTTTTTTTTTCTAATTTCGCGTAACGCTACACGAGGGCTCTCTGCGCTAGCCGTCCCTAATTTAGCAGTGTAAGACTAGAGGGAAGGCAGCTAGTCATCACCACCCACCGCCAACTCTTGGACTAGTCTTTTATCAACGAATAGTGGGATTGACTAACACATTATAATGCCCTCACGGCTGAAAGGGCGAGTATGTTTGGTGGGACGGTGATTCGAACCCGCGACCCTCAGATTGCGATTCGAGAAGAAGCTGAGAAAGACGTCAGGGGGCCATAGTGGAGAGCACAAATCCATAAAAATAAAAACTTTACTACATATTTACCATTTTTAGAACGAGTGGTTAAAAGAAATAGTTTGGTTTTGATTAAATAGCACAAACTGGTTTCGCATTGTATATCAACCTTTTATTTACAATGCAAAAAATCATAGCCTTATACATAAGAGACTTATTGCACTCATTAATTATATTGGAATTATCTCTGGTACGTAGCGTTAGTTTGTAAAAAATAAATAAAATGGCGTAGGAAAATGTTTACTGTCAAATACAGCAACGCACGAATTAAGCCTGTTTCACGCCAAAAGAATTGTTTTAGATGTTAAATTGTTTCATCAGATGTGTGATGAACAACAATAAACGAATTTAATAGGGCTAAAAACACACAATTAATCACAGACTGCTACGATAAATCTGCAAAACGTGAATTCCCCATCAGAAATATGCTTTTCTTCACACACACCCGGCAACAGTAATTTGCAATGCTTACGCTTAGTATATAAAACTAAATTCAATATAATATTTTAATGGTCATGTTATCAGTTTACATAAAATAAATTAGGTATATCTAATCACTAATATAGTGACTAATATCCATAGATTAAGCGCATGCTAGAATATCCAAATATAATATCTATTTTGGCCATAGCTCACAGCGAATTCTCACTTCTGATTTGGTTTTGAATTTCGCGCAAAGCTACATGAAGGCTATCTGCGCTATCCGTCCCTAATTTAGCAGTGTAAGCGTAAAGGGAAGGCAGCTAGTTATCATTACCCACCGCCAACTCTTGGGCTACTTTTTTACCAACGAATAGTGAGATTGACCGTGACTTTATAACGCCCCCACGGCTGAAAGAGCGAGCATGTTTGGTGGGACGGGGGATTCGAACCCGCAACCCTCAGATTGCCAGTCAAGTGTCCTAACCACCTGGCCATGCTGCGCCCACAGAGATAAAGTGAAAACACGTAAACCTATGAAATAATAGGATTCTTCTAAATAATAACTCACTATAGTGCTGGCGTTGATGTAGTCGGAGCCACAGATATTAGAAAAGTCATTTAAGATCACACGAGAATGGTCATCTGTAAATGAAGTATGTCTAGTGTTATTCTCTTCTTTGAAAAAATACCTTTACGAATTTATACGGATTAAAATACATATAATTAAAAACCAAATGATATCCGAAAACTTTTAAAAATGAAATTCTACTTAAATTGTTTCTATAACAATAAAACTCGTTAATTGTGCTTAATCTACAAACTTTCAAAGCTAAACATAACGGAAAATATAGAACACTGACAATGGCTTTAGACAAGGGCGTCCGCAAGATGTATTACAGAAAGGGGAGGGAAAGGCAAAGATGACAAAATGATATCAAAGCTATAACTAGGGAAACGCAAAATTTATAATCCTGGCAGCGCTAGTGCCCCCTTGCGGACGCCCTTGTCCTTAGAGATACTTTGGAAATACTTGTTCTTCAAGGAGGTCTTTGTTACAATTCTTAACACTGGAACCTAACAGCTAAAAAAAATGTCTGACACTCGTAAAAAATCAATATTAATAAAATCCAAAGAATAGCTGCCTAGTTATCTTCGAGAGAAAACTCTTACACCTTATGAAATACGTCCTTGAATGATCAAATGTAAGACTTACATGGTAAGACGTCTGGGAATCGGTTTTTGTTGACGTTCTGCGATAGTTTAGCGACAGAAGTGGAACACGGTTCAGGTTCGTAGGCGCACAGAGCTTCCCACTCCCGGTCGAGACGGTCCTTGTTATTCAGGTGGTCTTCCATGTATGACTGATCATAAACACTTCACAAATTTAGTTGTCACGAATAGGCATAATTTAAATTAGCAAAGTTTAATTGTACGCTCATACTACACAATTTTAAAAACCGCGGCTTCATTATCTCCCTTCTACACTCAACATCGCGATCTAACCAACAATGTATCGGCATTCAACACTTCAACCAATAGCCCGGCTTAATTACCTAACTTTTTTTTCAATGTCATACTTAAGTAGCCAATCATTCTCTTTCTTTTTCTGGTAGAAGCTAATTTAATAAACTATCAAAATTATATAACAAGAAGACGTTGCTATTGGATTGTGGGTAGAGAAATATATAATTAAGATTTTTATTCAGATACTAAGAAGATAATTTTTAGTGTCAATTTTCTTAATAGAAATATTCAAGTACGAATTTGGCAACTGAGAAAACACGTTGTAATAGACAAATATATGTATATATTTATTTAAACAAACAGTTGTAAATGTTTATTGTAACTTTAATTTTCAAACAAAATGTGAACCGAAAGAATGACCCTTAATTTTCACATCGGTATTCTTATCGAATAATAAATTCTAAACAGCAAAAAATATTTTATTTTTTTTAAAAGATATTTAAAAGAGAAGTTTTGAATAACGCTACACTCACCAAAATCATGTGTCCCGTGGAAATATCCATATTAGACGCCAGCGGTTCTTCGTTCCTGTTGAAAAAAAAAAGAGTACAAGAGTGAATACATCATGTTCACATACTTCAAAGAATGTTTCGTCACTTCATACATCTAAGTATCGTAGTATTCAAGTCCAACATTAACTGTATTTAAAGAAAACTCATTTTTCACTGATGTTTTGATAAGAAAGATACTCTTCTTTCCAGAAAAAGTTCCCATCATTTTATTTGCCTTAAAAATCTGCTTACGGCAAACACTAAAACTTCCCAAAGTTTGTCATAATGATAAACCTATTTTTTGTGTTTTGTTTGTTTTTAATATGGCGCAAAGCTACACGAGGGCTATCTGGGCTAGCCTTTACTAATTTAGCAGGTAAGGCAGCTAGTCATCACCACCCACCGCCAACTCGTGGGCTACTCTTTTACCAACGAATAGTGGGATTGACCGTCACATTATAACGTCCCCACGGCTGAAAGGGCGAGCGTGTTTGATGGGACGAGGATTCGAACCCGCGAGTCGAGCGCCCTAATCATCTGACCATGCCAAGCCTTTTTGTGTTTATCTACATTATAAAATCACGTGTTCAACAAGCTGAAATGCAATTTGACCAGGTCAATAAGTTGTATTCTTTCAAATCACTTCTTTTGTGTGAAAATTCTTATTTCAATTGAACCCAAGCTTACATAAGTATTACGTACATCATAGTATTATAATAGGAATGCTGATTTTTCTCGAATTATTGGGAATTTTGTATCTTTTTTATATGTTTTTAATTAAATATAATACTATGTATGAAAGTTATAAATTAATAATTGTCTTTATGTTACTTGTATTTCAAAAACAGTTAGCGTATCGAACTATGGCTCCGAGGATCTCGGGTTCGAGACATGATGCTACCGAACATGCTTCGATTTTCAACTGTCGGCGCGTTATAAGAATGACAGTCAAGCCCAGTATTAGGTTAAGAGTAGCTGCTTCAGGCGGAGAGTGCTAGTCGGAACTAGTTGCCTTTCTTCTGGTCCGCAGGTCAACTATGCTTAAACTACAGAGTGCTTTGACCTGGTCGTTTAAGCCCGTTGTGTGCATCAACTGAACCAAGAAAAAAAAATAGAATTAAATAAAAAGCGCTCAAACAATATATAAATGCAAAGTCATCTCCTACAGTAACCAAACTAAATAAATTAGGCCTAACATTTTAAATGTCATTAAAATGTTGCGAAGGTAACGGTTTACCAATACAACTCCCTCTAGTGGTTATGGATAGCAGTAACAGCTGACCTGTTTTTCAAAAGATAATCAACAATTCTTATTCGCTATCAATGAAAAAAGTACGTAAGTAAATTCCTTAAATATCCTCAAGGATATTTTTACGCAACTAAATAAAAAAGAAATTGCTGTTATGTAAAAATGTTCTTAAATACCATAAAATAGTTTACGTAAGTTAACTCTTAGAGGTTTCTAGCATTCAGAATCTGAAGATCATTTTCTGCTAGGTGTAAAGCTCATTAGAATTGTGATAAAAAAACATCAGTAGTAGAAAAAATATGTAAATTCTTGATTAATGAAAGGTTATCTTAGGACATGAAAAGTTGCTTCCTTTATATGTAATTGTAAAAAAAAGCCCATAAAAACTGCAACACACAAAATGTGAAACCGCAATTTTGTATGGACCCAACAAATCTTCATGCGAAATTTGGAGAAGATCTATTAACTGGGGGCGAAGTAGTGATAAAAAACGCAAAACCGAACATTTGTATGTAC